GCGTACTTCTCTAAGCTTGCTCTTTAACGGTTGACATCGGATGAACTGTGGAACAGCAGCAATCATTGCTATGGTGATAGTAAAAGTCGTCCTGTTAACATGAAATACTGTAGATGGATCCACAATAGCGATAAGGAACGTTAGGAATGTCCACAGATTACATGTTTTTAATATCGGCCAGCTATAAAAACTGATAATTCCTCCGATTAAAAGATTTAAAGGGTTTGATATACTTGTCGAGCATCCTGCAAATATGAAACTTAGAATCATCCACATCCATTTCAGCTGAAAAGATTTTCTGTAAAATACCGTGGCACAAGCGGCAAAATATACGGAATGGAAATCGCTCAGCAAAATCAGTAAGATATTGTTTAAAAGCATAATTTCTCAGGATTATATTTTTCAGTGTAATGTTAAAATTTATACTGAATCATAATTCCACTTACATTTATCAGTTTTAAGTTTTTTTTCCAAATGTATTTTTTAGTATAATAAGTTCCTCTACATATAATTTTTGTAGGTAACTACAGGTATACCAAAATTATGCGGTCTATTACGTACATGAAGCAGTGTCATATTTTACACTAAATTAATTTTTGAGTTTTAAAAGTTATAGGATATCGAAAGTAAAAGTAGAAAAAAATAAATAAAAACTAGCTCTTTGACGAAAGCAACACTAAAAAGTTCATCAGGTGAACCGGCAAGTAGTGCATTTGCATGCGTAATAATACATAACAGTTACTATATTATCATTTTATGAAATGTTCCCCTGCCCCAGGTTGTAATGTTCCTTTGGAGGACAAATGAGAAAAACTTGTACCGTATTGTAAACTTTATAATGCCCCGACATGATATTGTGTAACGGCCTGAAGTATGTAAGGGAGCTACCATTTGATTTACATAAATGGTCATCCTGCCTTTTTTGTTGTTGCAAATAATCACATCCTGCCTTTTTTCCTACTCAAAACTCCTGTCCTGCCTATTTTTTTCAAATGTCATCCTAGCCCTAGTTTTGTCGTAACTATTTAGGCGAAAAAGATTGTTGCTACAATTAAAATTTGCTAAGAGTATACTGAGACCATCTTAAGTTGATCATCGATGTTTTGGATTCCTCATTTTGTTATTAACAAAGAAGTAAAATCGATGTTTATTTCATTATGAAATAGCTGAAAGAGGGCTTATGAAAGGACCATTTAATTGAAATCGTGAAATAGTAAATTGCTTCAATCCTTCTTTTTTTGTTTTTAAAACACTGTGAAGAGTCGTTGCCCCAAAAAGTATATCATTACAAACAGTTGCTGTATGCATTCATAATTTTTAACCATCTTAAATTTTCCAAACCTCGGGTAATATAAGGTTGATACGTATCATACGTTACAATGAAGTGAAGAAAAAAAAAACAAAAAAACAAGTAAACGTACACACACATACAAGCGCATATGTATATTATAAAATTTAGAATGGAAATGGGGAATGTGTCAAAGAGACAACAACCCGACCAAAGAGCAGAAAACAGTCGAATGCCACCAATGGGTCTTCAACACCGCGAGAAAATCCCGCACCCGGAGGCGGGCTTCAGATGGCCCCTAAACAAAATGTGTACTAGTTCAGTGAGAATGGACGTCACACTGAACTCCAAAACATATAAATGAACTAAGATAAAAAAAACATACAAGACTAACAAAGGTTTATATCCTTCACTATCACGAAACAAAAAAACTGTAATGCACCACAATCTAACCAACGAAAACCACCAAAATATGTATACCATTAATAGAAATGAATTTACAATTATTCCAACGAACGACTCTGTTTGAGACACAAGGAGCCATAACTATGAAACTGTTTAAATACAGGAGGAGAGAAAAGAAATATAACGGTCTATGTTATTGAGCATTAAGGTGAAATTCTATGCTATGACAACATTTCTTTGAAAAATCTTTTTAAAAGGTTTAGCTGAAGACGTAATAACAAGTAGTCGTCGACAGGCCATGTTTTGTTTTGTTTTGTTATTTGTTTTTTTCTTAACAGAAAGTACACATTTCAGGACACAAAACAAAGGGTTAACAAGACTTTTGATTAGATATACAATTATAAATAGATGAAACGACAATGTCGGTTCTAATTGACATAAAAAGTTTAAACTATAAATCAAGACGCCACGTGCTATTTCCAATCTTTCCTTTATTCAATCATCATTTCCTAAATCAAGGGCTCACTCCAAACAATAATATGACCTTTTCTGTAGTTTAATCTAAGCAACGGAAATACGTGTCACGTTCTCAGCAAGAAGATCCGGGTCTTTCAAGTAATTAAACTAAACAAAGGAAACATAAAAGTTTGTCTCGTCCTGTAATTACATATCAGAGAATTCTTTATAAAGATAACTGACGTCCTTTTTCAATTTGTTTTGTTGTTGACTTCAGAGACATTTACGTTGTACTACTAGTTTCCACAATAATGAAACGATGGGAAGGAGCAGCATGCTTGTCTCCGTAAACAGAAAACAAAATCGTGCTACCTTAAAGCTTGTCGTCTATAAACCTGATGTTCAGTGGTTGTTGTTTGTTGATGTGGTCTCGTTTCTGGTTTTTATATAGATTAGACCGTTGGTTTTCCTATTTGAATGGTTTTACACTAGTTTTGAGGCCCTTTATAGCTTGCTGTTCGGTGTGAGCCAAGGCTCCGTGTTGAAGGCCGTACTTTGACCTATAATGATTTACTTCACAAATTGTGACTTGGATGGAAAGTTGTCTCATTGGCACTCATACCACATCTTCTTATATCTATATAGATAAAGGTAAATAAGAAAATTGATCTTGACAATGTGGTAACACGGTTTTTTTTGTAGGGGTTTTTCCTCATTAAAAAACACAGAAAACATTGTATTCTGGTAAACGATCTGCGTTAACGGATATCTGGAAAAGAAATAAGGATACATGTGATAGATTTCGTTTTATTCAGAGTAAAGCCTTTCAGCTCCCTACAGAATAAAACATCAATTGAAAATAACTTTCCTTTGAGCGTCCCGTAATTTTTTTTTGTGAGTTTTAGAGTAAAGCCGTTCTTAAATGCATGTAGTATTTGTCACTGGACTTAAGCTGCGATTAATCAATCAATCGATCTTAGTGTAAAAAAATACATCAGTCATTTCTGATAAATTAGTTAAAATCTATACGTGTGATGAAGGAACATCCTTCATCGTCTGTCATACAAGTGAGAGGTTTAGCTACAAAATGTAGCTATAAAACCAGGTTTAATCCGCCATTTTATGCAAAAGGAACTGCCGGTACCAAGTCAGGAATATGACAGTTGTTTTCCATTCGTTTGATGTGTTTGAGCTTTTGATTTTGGCATTTGATTAAGGACTCTCTGTTTTGAATTTTCCTTGGTTTCGAAGAATTTATTAAAGTGTTTTAGTTTGAATTGAATTTCCTCTCTAGTAAAATCTTCAGTGCCAATTTCTCTTATCTGATATATGTGTAATACTTTTCTGTTATTACTCCAACCTATCCCATTCTCGAATTCTTTAAATGCAAAAGAAAGTAGTTCTATTTCTGCATTTTATAATGACCTAAAGCTGAGGGCCGTACGGTTACTTACACATCCACGGAATTTCGACTGATGAATAGTTGTTTCATTGGTACTCATACCACATCTGCTTGATTTTATACTTAGAGTTGATATAAAAAAAAGAGGCAAAAGATGCCAAGAGGACATTCAAAGCTCGTAAGTCGATGAGAACTGACAACACCATGGCATAAAACGAAAAACGTCGAAAAGACAAACAAGTTCAAAAATTCAACTTAAAAAACTAAAGCCTGAGCAACACGATTCCCACCAATTGGCGGGATTGATCCACGGTGCTCCGGAAGTAAAACACTTATTGAACTCCTGTATTACATCAATATAAAAATGTGTAGTCATCACCAAATATTTTGTCTTTGAACGTTCGTTATACATCTGCTCATGGGCATCTGTTTAACTTATAAAACGTCCATTTCAAATATAAAGTGCATAGAAAATCAACCTACAGTAGATCTGATTCTTTTCTTCCTCCCCGACCGGGGCTGGAACATGTACTTTTCACTTTTCACTTCTACGGACAACACCGCCTAACATATCTATTAAATATTTCATTTTTTCAGGTATCGTAAGAAAAATATGATTTGTTGCATGTCCGGAAGAAACATCCGTAAAACGTATATTAATTTTTCTCCCATGAAGTCCTCTACGTTTGTATGCAAGTTGATATCTTTTCAAACTATAAATCAGGACGTTGATTTTCTCTATAGAATTGTTTCACATTTGATCATGCCTGGACCTTATACAGTATGGGTTTTGTCCATTACTGTAAACCAACTTATTTTCGCGGATACTTTATTTCGCGTTTCGCTCTTTCTAGCCCACTCCGCGGCGATTAAAGTTGGCGATTTTCAAATTTTCTTGATGTATTTGAATAAGAAAAGATCCAAGTTTTACATATTTGCCACGATTTATATTCGAGTTATTTTTTCTACTCGCGAAAGTCGCGAAAATAAATTGCTCGCGAAAATTAGTTGATTTACAGTATTGGAGGTCGTACAGTGCCCTATAGTTGTTTATATTCTCGTGCTTTAGTCTCTTAGTTCCTTAAAGGTCATTTGCAATCATACCACATCTTTTTTTTTGTAGCCATTTTTTAATGAATACAATTGATTTTTATAGCCATGACGCTGTAAACTTTCGAATACAAAAACTGCAATCTAAAGACTTCCCCTAGGCTAGCACCGGCTTGAGCGAAAATCTTTGTCAGATGTCGATCACGCTGCATGCATATGTCACAGTGTATTGAAGAACACCGCTGCGGGGTCAAATTATAAATTATACTGAAATGGAAGAATAGCCCAACAACTTCATTTTGAAATACAGAAGCATTAAACACGTTTAGACAGCTACAAGGACACATGCTAAATAACTCAACATAATACAACGTATGAATTGGGCAGATAATTTGGATGGACTGCATAATAATTTTAATAAACAAACTACCCGAAAGCCAGAAAATGAATGTGAACACGTATTTCCCAGACAATTACTTCACAATGTAGCGTTTTCTTCTGGTGGTATGACGTTGAATAATTCTGTCATATTCAGTCTGACGAATGATCTACAAAAAAAAAGAAGAAACAATATTGAAATAAAAACATCATAATATTTAGGACCATTTAGGATATGTAGCATTTTCAAGTAGATTAGGCGGAATTGTTTTGATCACATGGTTCATACTCTAAAGAATGATCACAAGATTTCAGGTAAATGTGTGGAATTCATTCATGATTTTACTTCACACCAGCTTCCTACTTGTCGTCAGGAACGGAAAGTGTTCAGCTATAGTGCAGCAAAAACTACTTAACCTTCCAAGCGCCTGAATTTAATCAAAGTTCCGGTTCTGCCTTTCATGCACAATGCGTTACGTCTCTAACATTCATTTTCATTACTTGAAAATAAGTACAAAAACTGTAAGAAAATAAACACTTAACCACTGCTTCGGTATTAATATGATTTCGTGATATATTTTCAGGTTAAAAATTTACGTTATTGCGTTACAACTTGGAATGATTTTCAGTCGTTCACAGACGATCTTAGACGCTTTGGGGTGTTCTGTTTAGAGCATCTTTTATATTATCGAAACGCTTAATTTTTTAACAGTTGGTCTCCAGTGAAACTGATGGCGGTTATCGGGAAACACGTGTAATGCGAACGGAAATCTAAACACGTGTTTTACTACCATTATGTCTGCACTGCGGGGTACAGCTGGTGATACATGTAACCTATCAGCCCCATTGGGTACTATCCACCTAGTAGTTGCAACATCGGCATGGTCTCAATTAACATTATTGCTCATGTAAATTTCCAGTTTGTTTAAATGTTTAAATGTGCTAAACGCCACTAGAGGAGAAGGACCAGCTTACACTTCCGGAGCAAATGAAAATCACCCGAGTTTTTTTAAAGGGGGGGGGGGAGTGTTTTTTTTAACTTTTTTGTCTTTTCGTAGTCTTCTTTTTTTATTTGCCATTGCCTTGTCCGTTTCATTCGATTTTTGAGTATTATTTATAACTGTCCAATCAGAATCATCGTACCGAATGTAGGTTATTCCGGAAACATGCGCGTTGTGCGCACAAAACATACCATAACATTAGTTTACCTTTCATATGCATAAAGAGGTCCTGACTGATTGGTAGACTTGGCGTTGGCAAGATACGCAATACTATTTGTTAAATCGTAAATGGCAATATGTAAGTTTCCCGTCTGGGTGATAGACGTGACGTCACGGATAACGTTTTCCACGGTGATGTTACCGTAATGTTTGGTTAGTTGTCTTGATAGTGTCTGACTAAAAGCTGGACACAACCAGTCCATGCCTGTAATAAAGGAAGCTTGAAACATAACGATGAACACATACCAAAAACAGGAATGAAGGAATACAAAATTTAATGATTGAATTGTTTGAATCAAATATATTTAAATAAAGGGATTGAATAAAGGCTCAGCCTATATGAATCATTTCTTATAAAAGATGGATAGAATAGTAAATTGGGTTTTTACATATTAAACTAATTTATTCATTATTTTGTGTCATGATCAATTCAAAATACAAAATCAATTAAATCTAGCCTTTATCAATTATTATAATGTAGAGAACAAATGCAGTTGACATAAGATTCTGACAAAGGTATCCGAGACGATTATTGGTAGTTGCTTTATTAAAGTTTAAATCTAAAATAGGAATAACTATAAATTTGTTGAAGTCAAGCAGATAAAAAATATAAAGAGTTCAAAAAGCATCCAGATGAACTCTTAATGATTTTTTAGTGTTTGTTTTGTTTATTTTACTATCTACTAGTATTAAACCATCAGGAATTACTACCTTTGTTAGATTCATGCAGTAGCAAGCACAGTTTGATCCTGCTTTTAAAAATTAAGATAGTTGAGGTGTCTTCGGCTATTTTGGATTGTAAAATAGCAGAAACAATTGGTCCATATCCTTAATGAAATATGCAAATTTCGAGAGAAGAATGCAATTCATTTGTAAGACTTTTCATCTTAATGAAAACATTAAGTGTTTTATCTTATTTTACGACTGTTTTTTTTACAAATACAGAATTGTTTGGTTTAATTCAATTTTTTTTAATTTTGCCACATACAATGTAAGGAGAAGCAACTCAGATAATGTGACAGTTACAGTGATGTGTTATGGATTTACCTTTTTGGTTTTGTAGCAAGAAAACGAACCCTGTGACCCCAATTTCTATTTTTATTTTTTGAAAGCACATTAAAAGAGCAATCTTCTTGTATTATATCTTAAAATTTTATTGTTTAGTTATCTTTTTATCACACAAATTGGGTATTCCATGCATAAACTATACAAATCTGTCAATTTTGCACAATCTGTAGCTTGAAAAAGCCCCATGGCCCATACTTTTTATGATATTTTCGAACAAAGCATGATATAAACTACATTTTGGCAAATTATTAAATTCTATTGATTTTGATTTAGACCTCCCCCCTCCCCAATCTACCTTAAATACCGTCTTTTATTTCCTTGTTCAAGTTAGTGATCTTACCGTTCATAGCTGGACTTTTCAAGTTTTTATGTGTTCCTTACTTTTATTTGACAAATTATGGTCTAAATAGGCAAAGTAACAGGGATGTGTTCAGGTAAAACTAACCTTACCATATTTTGTGACTGTACCAAATCAAGATATCTTGACCATGTGTTATTTGTTGCTTTTGTCCGTTTTATGTATTGGCAATATGAACGTTGACTTTTATTCACTCCCTGTCTTTAATAATAGTCAGATTCATATGCATTATGACAATTCCCAAATCGCCTAAGCATAAATGTGTGCATGTGGTGCTTTTGTAAAGTCGCTTCAAACATAGCATTGAACCAACAAGACATTACCTTGGGTTTGATTGCCTGTTTAGAATCATTCACTGCATACCCGGTACAATATGACAGAAATACTTTACAATATTGTACTGACTTTTTATGTTTTCCTAATTAAACGTTCTTAATTTTATTTGTTATTGACCTACCCCAGTATACAACGTCTTTTATGTGTGGATGCCAGGACGCCGTTGGTTTCATATTTACGTCATCCATGAAATTTGCTACTGACGCTGAGTATTGGATGCCTAGAAATTCTCCCATCTGCGTTAAAAAATTTGTAACGAGATTTAATCGGACATAAGTTCTTTGGTATCACTTAGGCCAACACATATATACTGTGTTACCTGCCTTCTTGAAAAAAAAACAAAAAAACAACAACCCCAAAACAACAGGGTAGGTAGGTCAAGTAGTTTAGTTTTCAAGATAATTTTACAAAGACTTTATATATTTATGAAAACAATGTCTGGACTTTAACGGTTGTGATAAAAAAAAGGTGCATACAATGTGTTAATTATAAGGGGCAGGAAATATACTTGCTGTTCAGTGTGAGCCAAGGCTCCGTGTTGCAGGCCGTACTTTGACCTATAATTGTTAACCTTTTTACACATTGTGACTTGGATGGAGAGTTGTCTCATTGGCACTCATTCCACATCTTCTTATTTCTATTGGCCTTGAGGAAAAATATAATCTTGAAATCAATCAGTTTGGATAATTATGTAGCAATGCGAGAAACTTGTGCAAGACAGCTTTTGGTGTATGGTATCACAATATAATTATTACTTACCTTTCCGTCGCCGACTCCAAGGATTAAATCGCAAGTTCTTGGAGAATTTGCGATTCTATTGATGGAATCGTCTATCGTGTTGTCAAATTGCAGAATATCACGTAATAAATACTAAAAAATAAACGAAGCTAAAACTGTAACAAGTTTAACCTTTCGCAGTATTATAGATTACGTCAACATGAAGCAATAATAACATATACTGTAATGTTATTCCTTATAAAATGTATTTCATATCTTCTCCTGTCCAGGATATGTTCCCATTTCTATATCTCCTCCTAGCCAAAAGAACCTTAGCCACATCACAAGGCAACCAATAAGAAACGATAGTCGTAAGTAATAATTTTAAGATGGCATGGATATCAAATGAAACTAATTGCTTCGCGAAGCTATCATCAAACTGCGTTGTCGAAAAACATACATGTATCTGATTGGCCATTCGACCTGTCGACATTTTAATCCAATTTACGTTATAGAATAGTTTGTATGGTGAACAACTATTATTATTGTTATTAAGACATATCTTTTTTCACCCGTCAAAGTGTATGTGTTTGATAGACACATACAATATTCTTGCTCCTACATTTATGCTCACTCAAACCCCTTTTGAAACTCGAATGCATTGCATGTCTCACCGCTGTGTGACAGTATGTTTGTTCATTTTGACCATATCATAGTCATTGAAACTTGCCGTAAAAGGAACTCCAAATCTCGATTCCTTTCCAAATGTGTCATCGGGAAAGGTTACACCAATTTCTGATATTGCCATATTTCTGGAGCTCATTCCTAGAATATAGCAATTTTAAAAATAAATGCCATAAATGCGCGAGTGCTTACCACGAACGTCGTTACATGTAAAAGTGTTAGAACAAGTTTTAAGTATGATAAGATTTTATTCTATCCAGTTAAAATCTACTACCAAGTTTCTGTGTAATTTTTGTTTAGAATTCTTTAAACGTATGCAAACTTATATCTACATGGTCTGCTTATAGTTCAAAACAAAATTTTCTTTGAACAAAAATTACTAATGTCTTTATAATAAAAAAAAATTGATCACACATGCATCGCCCTATTAAATTGTCACCTTTGTCTATATAGTGTTACATGTATAATTTATCATTTGTCGTAAAATTAGCTATAATTGATATATCATTTGTTTATCTCCAAAGATCTATCAGTACAATTTGATATCAACAGATTGTCTGTATAAACCTTTGTAAAAAGAACTGACCTCGTCATCCTGTTTGTCGTGCACAATTTGGGATTTGATTCCTACTTGATAGGCATAGTTTTTAAAGTGTTATTTTCATTAACTAGTACGGGGTGGATGCCTCTACCTGGGGACTCTTGCTCCCAGAGAGGTATCGTGATCCCAGTAGTCAGTGATTCGGTACTCACATAATTAATAACAACTATTCAAAAATTTCCCGTTGATAAATTAAGAATTATAAAGACCCTAAGGTTCAAACTCCCTTCTGTTGACCTTAGGTACATTTTGCTATTTTTTGGGTCCCTTTCGGTCATATAGCTCCTAACATTTCTACACATTTCTACATATTTCTACACATTTCTACGCATTTCTACGCATTTCTACACATTTCTACGCATTTCTACACATTTCTACGCATTTCTACGCATTTTTACATCCATGGCTTTCAAATGTTTATGTTGGATTGTTCCTAATTGATTAAGGTAAATCGGACGCACGAAATTTATAAAGTTTTATTTTTATTTTATAAGGTTTCGGAAGCATCTTTTACCTGTAATGGATCCTATCCAACCTGTCCATCCGAAATTGGCAAACGCATGTCCGTTACCTTCAATTGGGTGGTACACGGTTACTTGAGGAAAATCTTTAAATGGACCTTAAAGATGAAAAAAAGAAACATCATGACAGTTTAAATTAATATTACTACAAGAAAATATAAACTTTACATGCATGCTCTCCACTTTCGATTTTTTTTTAAACGGTTCAGTTTCTCGAGTTTTCGCATCAATACTTTTTGTTTTAGGTTTTTGATTTTCCAAATACGATAATCGAAAACGCAAAAAAACCTAGGATTTTTTTTTTGAGGCGGAGTATTCATATCCATCTGTTGCTATAGGCTGGCTTAATTCTTTTAAAACTTTTGTACACAACTGCATTTTGTGGGGCAGAATATTCACGCTCATCCTGTATTGAGCAATATATTTCTTCTTTAGTTCGTACAATTCATTTTAAAAACCCTCCTGCCAACCACCAAGAAAATCAAACAGTCGTCCCATAAAGCATAAACAAAAGATAATTCTATATCAGTTAGAGAAAGGCGAAAGATACCAAAGGGACATTCAAAGTCGAACTTTTTCTTTTTGTCCTTCATGCTAAAACAGTCGGACAATATGGTCAATAGTCCGGTCTAAACAATGCGGAAAAAGACACCGGGCATCTAACAATCTGAAAGATGATACCAGGGTTAAATACAAATAACAAGTCGTATTAAAAAAAAAAAAAAAACAGAAAAAGCCATAGTAAGATAAGGGGCGAAAAGACCACAAAACATTACAATCATCATCTACGAAATTACTCAACGTTTACGAAATAACTTGAATGTTCGCGAAATAACTTGAATGTTCACGAAATAACGCTTTAATGATAGCGAAATAGCGAAAAGATATTAATAAAACTCTTGTGGCGCTGATACGCTTCCGAACAAAACACTAAAACTAACGATTAAGCAACAAGAATCCCACCTAAAATCATTCGTCCAGCATAAATGTTTGGTGTAACATTCGTTTATAAAGGGTGTAAATATTTATAAATCCATTACATCGATAGTTCAATGACATATAGTTGGCGATGTCTTATGTTTCAAGAAGTGAAGTCTACGAATAAGCTATTGTACCTTATCACCAATTACTTCTTATCATCGCATGCATGTTAATTTAAGTAACACAATGGGTATCCCGGCTAGCGAGGCAGGATCTGTTTATCCTTTCGGACCACCTGAATTCACCTTCGATTTTTGTTTGGTTAGTGTTACACAATCTATAGTTTTCGTGTGTTGTGTTAAACTTAAGTTAATCATATTTTTGTCCCTCCTATTATTTGGATGTTTTATTCCTAGTATTTAGATTTTTTATTCCTTGTATTTTGATTTCTTATTCCAATTGATGTCTTCTTACTTTTTATTCATCAGCTACTAAATATAGTTGGATTTTGAGGACAAGGATACAAATAGAGTATCTCCGTTTCAGTAAATCCTAGAACCTCTAATAACGAAAGGTAAAACTGTTGGATCGATCGATGGTTGATTGTTTGTTGCTTGCTTAACATCCAGTGGCAAATATTTCATTCATAGTTAGGACGAGAAAACATTTCTATATTTTAAACAAAAAGTAGGTATGGCAAGAAGGGTCCACCGGATTTAAGGGCGGGAAATTTGGATGCACTCAAAAATAAAGAAGGTATGTTGTATATAGACGATTCGCCTTGTAAATAGAGAGGTGTTGCAAAGTTGTTTTTTTTTAATGTGCAAAGAGTGTTGAACCCAACCTACACGAGACATCGGACTGATCGTCCGAAAGGGACCATGTACTTTGTAAAAACCTTTGAGATTTTTAACATTATATATGACTGACGCTTATTAAACTAACATTAAGATTTATTTTTGCTTACCATCAACGCTCCAATCTAATGCTCTTAGTTGTAACAGGGAACCTTCTACTGGAACACTTTTACCCCACGCTCCAAACATTGAGCAGTCCCCTTTGCTAAGATATGAAATTATATAACACAATGCAAATAAATGTACACTGTTAATAGTACTACAATGTTATACATAGGTGAAGTATTTTCTTTTGTAAATATCGTTTAGCAACGAATAAGAAAGTAAAATTTGGTACATGATACAATTGTTCAGGACGGAATGAATACATATTGTAATACATGTATCAGGCTATTTTTCCGAAAAAAAGTGAATGAAAGTAGATTTGGACTATTTATCAGTGAGACAACAACTACATGTACATGATGAAAAAACAACAACAAAACATAGAAAAGTTAGGAATCAGATTTCGACCTATTTCGATAGGCAAATTGTGGATTAGTGTCAAAAATTACAAAAATCCATAACATATTTTTGTGAACGTATTTGGAAACAATCTTCAAATGTCAAATCTTCTTTACAAATTTTATTATAACATTGTGGGGGTGTTTTGAATTTCCGAAAGCCATGATTTCTGAAATTGATCAGGTCAGTCAACGGAGAAAATTGACCTACAAAAAACGCTTAGGTTATTCAACAAATGCCTAAGAATTTTTAACACTCCAGACATTGTTAAATATTATTAGCTTTGTCACAATATTTGATAAGAAGTTCTTAATCGGCTTTACGATCACTGAGTCAGAAAGAAACCAAAATAAGTGTAGTTGAACATTTATCGAATGCGTATACATGTATGAGGGTCCGGGAAGGAGTCTTCATCTCTTTATTCTTTAATGTTTATGCCATTTTTCTCTGTTTTTTTTCCACTATTCTCCATTCTATATGATTTAGCACCCCATTATATTTATAAACTCTTTTTTATCGTATTATTCTCTATGCTTGATATTTTTTGTCCTTAGTTCTAAATGCACAAGGGTCCTTGTGTAATTTAGGAAGTTTACTAAATGAATATTCTTACACTTACGTAAGTTCACCTATCATATGAATTCGTAGAATTTTCTGAAATAAAAAAGCCATGTTGAAACATGTAAGTTAACTCAGGCACAATTCAATAAGTCGTGGTAGTTTATTTGTTTTTAATTAGATAGGGTTTTTTCTAGTGATGCTGTGTTTAGGAAAGTAGATTATCATCACAAGCTTATCACAAGCTTATCTTCCTTGCATCATGTTTAACTAGTGAACCTGACTCAAGCTTGGGACCAATTCCAGCGACCGATTCTAGCGACCAATAAATATCACGATAAGAAACAACAACATAGAAAACCATTAGGTGGTATTTGTCTGAAACCCATTAATATAGTGTTTATACTATACACAACTGATTGTGTTTTACATATTATTAAACTATTTGTTGTTAAACTTGACCAATTTAGATCATATCTATCTTGAATCGTTTGTGTTATGCGTTTTACCAGCTTTCTAGTAATCAATTTTAGTTTCCATTTTTATTTATTTTTTCTTTTGCTTTAATTCCTAGCTTTTCATGCTTTTAAAATCTGCTTTCTATTATCATGCTGAATTATCATATTGCTTCATATGTATTTTTCCTAAGTCAGGAGCCTGGTTCATAGATGTTTCTCGTTTCTCGTTTTTTATATAGATTAGACCGTTGGTTTTCCTGTTTGAATTGTTTTACACTAGTCATTTCGGGGCCCTTTATAGCTTGCTGTTCGGTGTAAGCCAAGGCTCCGTGTTGAAGGCAGTACTTTGACCTATAATTTTTAACTTTTTATACATTGTGACTTGGATGGAGAGTTGTCTCATTGGCACTCATACCACATCTTCTTATTTATATTTTTATTAAAAAAAAAGTAAAATAACAAAAATACCGAACTACAAGGAAAATTCAAAACGGAAAGTCCTTTATCAAATGGCAAAATCAAAAGCTCAAACACATTTAACTTATTGCATACTTGCTTGTATTGTTATGTCTGGTGTGCTGGTTAAAAGCCCAACATGTTTACGTTTTTGATTTGTAAACAATGTCGAGTCTAAATAAAGCCTATTTGTCTTTATTTACATTCACAACTCCCGGATGATCCCTCCACCATATAAAAACAACATAATAAACAAATAACGAATAAAATTTATTATGAAAAAGAAGTTTAAAAATACAATAACATTATAATAAAAAACACTGGAAAAAAATATTGACAACGGAAGTAACTATTTACAAAAAATTAATTACCCTGTTAATTAATGTAGTTCATTACATTCTCATTGCAGTGTATTAACGCCAATTTATATATATATTAATCAATTATTAGTAATTATTCCAGTTAATCGACCAGCTTGTTATGAACAGGTGCCAAAATGAGGCAAGGTGAACTCTATTTTCGAGTTAATTGGAGCAGATCTTAATGAAAAGTAATCATTGCCTGTGAGCGTTGAGAAATCTTGACTTTCTGACAATGGAATAAGTATTATATAAAAACATGGATTATAAAATATTTTGTATATAATTCTTGGCATTCTGTTACATATTTCAAAGAAAGGATATTTATTTTAACTGTAAACAATCTACCAGAAAAAAATCTACAGAGGATAAAGAAGAGTGTTGGTATCAAATATGTCTGGACTTAGTTTGTAAGTACATCATATATAAACTATTTCAGAACTGCTTTCTAAATCAGTGCATTAAGATTACATTGAAATGCAGTTAGTCAGCGGAACGGAAGAGAAAGGGGGAGCCTGTTTCTCACTTTTTATCTTTTAACCTATATATGGAAAGATGACTTTTCTGTCTGTAAAAATTAAAAAAAAAATCATTGCCCCATTCAATCGTTGCAAACATGATCCGCTGCAACTTATCGCATGTATCATTTTAGGAATGGAACCTTTAGTTATCTTTGTATAATGTATTGCTAATACTGAGCTGTCAAATAAACAAGAGTAAACTATGCAAATTACCCAAATAGAGATATAAGCACGGCAAATTCGTCTCCTTTTGTTTATTTTTTACAAAGGTCCAACCGAAAGTCATACTTTTCCTGATATAAGCACATATCGAACTAATAGGAGCACCCTAGAGCTTCTGTTTATAATTACTAGTATATTGTCAAGGGTCAATTTATGAAGTGTACCGTTTATACAGACGAGAGAGGATTGCCTCCCCTGACTCACTTTGACACAAAATTATGTAGAATCCACGATGAGAATGCACGTTTAAATCTTGATCATTCAACAAATATAGTATAACAAAATCTTAAAACTTAATTTGAACTTTTGCATTACTAGCTGTCATAACAGTTTATTAATTTATGTGTCATTTGGTCTCTTGTGGAGAGTTGTCTCGTTGGCAATCATACCACATCTTCTTATTTATATATATATTAAGTACTAGTAATTGAACATTTCAATAGTTGTAAAGTAAAGTTATGCAGGTTATTTGAGATTGTTAAATTGTGTTTCTTTGTCCAGAAAAAAGTATACGTTGCTTAATATAATTTAAATTAAAAATAAAAAAGATGTGGTATGATTTCAAATGAGACAACTAAAAACCCGATTCTAAATGCTATGGATTAAAGCAACTCTAAGATTGAAACATTTCAAAGGAGAAAAACAACGGCCTGATCTATAACTAAACAATTAACGAAAAAAAAAACAGACATGAGCCAGCGACAGTCACTGAATTACACGTATGATCCTAAATTGGGACAGGCACATTAAAAATGTGACGATGTTAAACATATTTATGAGCCGTTTGTTTTGTTTGTTTGTTAAGGTTTTACAATTTAAATATGTTCATGTTTCAGATTGACAAACAGCATGGGTTTATCTAGTACCTGCACTCCAACAAAAGATGGGATTGATGAAGTTCTAAGTATCATCACACCAGAGATGAAGAAAAATTTGTTTCAAACCACAGATGAAGACGATGATTCCGGTATTGGTATGGAGTTTAAAAAGGTTAGTCTATTTTAAAAGGAGGTGCAGGATTTTTCATAAATTTACAATCAAACTCCGTAATTATCCACGAAAAGTTAAAGTACTAAGTCGTATTTCACTATAAAACATGGTTGCTCCAACTGCAACATGTGAGCTAGTATCAGTAAACGGGGGGAAATAAAGATTTTTTTTTAAATCGGACTACAGACCAAAAAATAAATTATGTTTTGGTAGACTATGAAATCTCCAACATTTACAAATATTAATTTCATTGTTTTTGCAACTAGACATTAGTAGACGAAGAATTACTTCGGTACTGGCATGAAAATACAGATTTTGTGTAATTAAAATTTGCCGTTACAAAATTTCGGAAATTATTTTAAATTAAGGAATATATCTCCCTCACGCAAAGCTCTGATTCCTTCCCCGACTTTGGTTATACTTTTTGTCATGTTTGGTTTATAAGCTCTTCATATTTTTTATAAGCTTTGGATTTTCAAATATTTTGGCTCTGATCATCCCTGAAGAGACATTTAATGTCGAAATGCGCATCTGGTGCAGAAAAATTGGTACCGTTAATGTTGTTATAAATCACACGACCATTGGTCAATATTACGCTTTCTGTAATACATGTATGCCCGTGTTTCTATTTACGACTTTTTTCAGTTACCAGAAGACCTTCCATTGCCAAGATTTTCAGCAATCTGTTCGGACAACCCTTCGGAATCTCTCACTCCAGATATATGTTTTCAGGTAAAATTTTATGTACATTGTTTCAAGTACAATCTGTGTGTAATATTTCAAGTACAATCTGTGTGTAATATTTCAAGTACAATCTGTGTGTAATATTTCAAGAATTGATGTTTTATGTTTATTCTGTTATAGATTTCTATAAATACGTGTTTAAGGATGTTCGCTACTCAGTTTCAAAATAACAAGCTTTTTGAAAGACTGTCATAAATTGATAGTATATAAATAAAGGAACTATAAAAGCAGAAAAAAATCAAGGGTCCGTGTGCTTGTTTTCGAGATATAAGGCTTTGAAAATTTGGCGGAAAATGATTCTCTCTAGATTTTTCTTACATTTAACATTGGAACCTTTTTTTCTTTCAAAAACATTGAAAAAATAACAAGGATTTTATAAGATTTTCAAATATGGCTTTTTAAACTATATGTAATAAAATTATGAAACGAAAAGTAGGGGTTAGTGGACAAAATTTCTTAATGGAAAAACATGGATAAAACCAGAGGATTCCAAATATCTGACAAAAAATCAAAAACAAGAGGAGCGAACATCCTTAAACATATGAGATGACTTGGTTTATTTACTGTCCTATTTACATGATTTATGTATAAGGTATACATATCTATTACTAGTATGTATATTGCATGGTTAAAATCAATATATTTATTGCTGTATATAGGAATAGATACTTTTGTACGTTTCCACTTAAATTTTAAGACCCATCTATGCAATTCATTATCAAAATGACAGCAACCTAAGATGTCTAAGAAATTGACTCTGTAAAAAAATTACATTCACTACATTTTACGAAAGTCTGACAGCGGTCATTCAATTAATTTTGTGTTATTCCTTTGAGTCTATCCTTTGTTTTTACAGATCCGAAAACCAAAAAGAACAAACACCAGGAACTCGCTTTTCTCATCAAAGCGCCTCCTTGAAGAGGATGTTGGACCATCAGCTAAAATGCAACGTTGTGATGACACAAACTTTAAGCGGTGGTTTTCTTTTGGGGTTAGTATAACGTTTTATCTGATGTTTCTTTTAATTCCATAAGGTTCAATTTTTAATTTTACAAATTGTTGGTTATATTTACACTATAGGTAATATAAACAATTATATTATCCTTTGATTTCGTGAATTTTTCGTCTGATCGTCTGGTGGAGTCTTACTCTGTGAGGTAACACATTATACAAATTTTGCTCAACGTGTCTGTCTTCTATGAAACAGAAATCTTATTCATATCAAATCAACATGTTTTCTTTCGTCTTGATATGCATATGATATTTGTCACTGGACGTTCAATAACAGTCCGTTTATCCTTACATCTTTCGCAATACGAATGGCTGAAAGAAAACAAGAGTTTTCACTTGCAGTCAAGCTCAATTAAAATCTTGTAATTTCACGCTTTTTGAATATATTATCTTCTCCTACCCCCACACTTCAGACTCACAAAATACATATTTATACACATAATGAAAACGAAAAGATTTAAAATTTTTCAGGACCAAGCAGTAAACACAAATAGTCCAATGCGAATTATAGAATCAGCTATTTGTCGACTTGGAGAGACAGAGGAACTTGGCAGGAGTCCAGTGGTGAGCGTGCAGTCCATTGTTTCTCATTTGAGCGAGAATCATGTCCAGTCAGCTGTTTCCCGCCTAAGCGAGAGTCAGGATCTTATAGCTGACGGCTCTAGTACGTTTTGTCTTCCGATGGTCAGGGGACAGCATCCAGATTTGAAAAGTATTTCTCCAGTTACGGTAAGTTAAGAGCCTTTCATCTTGGACATAGACGCGTTAGGGTCCATTTCCTTATTGTTATGACAATTTTTGTAACCTTGGTAATTTCAAAAAGTTTAGAATATAAAAGTTAAACGCAAAACCAGTCCACAGATGGATACAGTTTGCTTGATTTAGTAACTTTCTATTTCCTTACCCGTAAGAACCTTTGTCAATGATTATCGACTATCACCCGTTACTGTATGTACACATTTTAAGCAGCTTTAACTAAAATGAGCCTCGGTATCGGTTTCAAGGGGAATCCCGAAATAGTTATTTCAGAGATCATGTCAACTCGAACAGCTAATGCAGATAATGTTATTGAAAGTAGAAATGCAAATAGTTTGGAAAAATCCTATTATGGAACTTTTTTTTTAAATGACGAAGAAATGTACCAGTATAGTTGTAGTGGCCACTGTTATGAAAATGATGGTAAAAGATTGTGACGTTTGATAACACGTGAGAAAGCATATTTCTTTATTGTTTTGTTCCGTTGGATAGAAACTATTACCGTTTACTAACCACTTACATAAACCAATAGAATTATGAATGAATGATAATAATTTTTCAAAAAATAATTGTCAGAAGTTCTATTTGAGGAATAATACAGTTCTGAAAAGTGTCTTGTGTCCTTATTGTTTTGTTTTGTTTTTTTAATTTTAGTATTCTAGATATCTTTTGGTAGTTTGTTGTCGGGTTGCCGTCTCATTTACAGATAATTCAGATAATTATATACATGTCAAACATTTCTGTTAGAAAGGACATTATTTCTCATTGTTGAAGGCCGTACGGTTGCCTATAATTGCTTACATCCACTTCATTTGAACTTTGGTGGATAGTTGTCTCATTGGCAATCATACCACATCTCCTTATTTTTTTTAAATAAGTGCAAATTTTGCTATTTTAACTTTACGTTACTGTTTAAAAAATTGCTCTTGTTGTCGCTCTCGTGCGATAACTTCAGAATCGTTGTAGAAAAAAGGCGAAATTTTATATTTATTGGATTTTTACAGATGTTGGAATTACTCAACGGTCATCTTGATCATACGATTGACAGTTATAAAGTCATAGATTGCAGATACCCATATGAATTTGCTGGTGGTCATATAAAGGTTTGTACTGTAATGTGACGTTTAAGTCTTAAGATGATGCGCTCTTCAATCTAGAAACTTCTATAAACAGTTAACTTAGAAAATATTTAGTTTAATTATATCAAATTTCTGCCGACGGTACAAAAGCGTTTAATAATTAGTCATTAGAACCAAACATAATTGAATCATTATTGTCTTTAATGTCCAGTGGCAAATATTCCATACACATTTGTATATATCGAAAAGAAACGGGTTTACTACATGTACAATGTGGGTACTCCTTTGGTTCTTGTCTAGTGTACAAAAGTGTATATAAATGTACAGGTTCCAATAGTCTTTCTTTTAGGTGACTTAGGAAAGCTAAATCATAGATACACCTAGGTAATAATTATACAATGTAGAAATATTAAATATAACCAAGGGGTTCCTAGGTAACCGTCTCTAAGGCTAAATGTCGAACTGGATCATATTTGCTCTTGAATTCAGTCGGTGACGATAAGAAATATCCTTTTTTTGCCGATTTACAAACATTTTTAAGTCTATTTATCTTATGTAGGATAAAAAATTTTCGCAAACATTCAACGTTAAAGATAAAAAGAACCAAAGCACCATACAAATGTATTTGTTACATCATAAACATTCAATTCTATTTGAAGGGAGCCGAGAATCGGTATACACACGAAAGCATATTAGAATTATTAACATCACAGAGTCCACCAAAGGTCGGAGGAAAAAGAAAGATTCTCGTTTTCCATTGTGAATTTTCATCGGAAAGAGCACCAAAATTGTAAGTACTTTTTTTGTTTATATCTATTTAAAATTAATTTTTACAAAAATAAGTATACTCTTCACTTAGTCTTGCCCTTACTTCTTATCTCATGCAACTTAAGACAATTTGTACATCAAACTAGTAACTGCAAGGTTAGAGATAAGGCAACAAATATAACCTTTTACGCGTTTAAAAAATTACATAATATATGAAACCAAAAAAAAAAAAAAACAACAAAAAACAAATCCAAATGAAAAATGTTAATTAGAGAATCACAACTTTCTTCAGGTGTCGATTTCTGAGACAGAAAGATCGTGAACAGAACAAAGAACATTATCCTGCACTTAATTACCCAGAAGTCTACATTCTGCATGGCGGCTATAAGGCATTTTATGAACATCAAAAGGTAAGATATAAATTGTGTTACTTATAAGTTCATCATGTATATGTTCGACTGTTTTTTTTTAAGATGCACCACATTATAAAAAATATTGTATTTTCTTCTAGCTGCGATAACTAGTTACATGTATTGTTTTTTTATCAAGATGGGTAGCTTGGTAGTTTGGTGAACGCAATGACAACTATTACACGCATATCAGGACAGAAATTATGAATATGAACCCCCCCCCCCCCCCCCCCTTTTACACCTTGCGTCGTTTTGAACGAGCAAGTTGACAAGGTATTAGTTTACAGGAAAACTTTTCACCCTGTAAGCGTACAATACTCTGAATCCGACGCGATCGGTTAATCAGATTATGAACTTTCAATTTGATCGATACATCTGAGTTGAACTTAAACAGGAGCTGCATTTTATAACGGATTCTCATAATAATGAGTTACAACTACTCAGCTTTCTATTAATGTTCTATACAGTTGAAAAATGCAACGATCAATGGTCAATATATTTGTTCCGCTTAGGAAATGTTGCTTTTGCTTAATATAGAATACACAACTTGTTGAGCCAAAATATAAAAAAAGCTAGCTAGGCATTGTCTATAACATAATAGTTGGCATTTCGTTTACCATACACATTGTGAATGAAAGTCAAGTTTCGAGGTGTGTTTTTTTTTTTTTTGCTTCAAGTCTGTGGCAAATATTTCAAGACTTTGAATAATTATTCATATTACTGTAATACTGTATACTGTGTAACTGTGAAAGAATTATTCGCCTACTGAAATAAAATGCATGTAAAGAAATAAATTTTAATCGTATTTTAATTTTATTTTTCAGGATATGTGCGATCCGATTGGATACAAACCCATGCTTCACTCAGATCATTCCGCTGATTTACGTCACTTCCGTATTAAATCCAAATCATGGACTGCTGGAGAAAAACGACGTTACGCACTCAAGACATTGAGATTTTAATTACCGAAAGACAAAGACAATAAGTGCTTATTTGTAAATGTTTTGTTGATTTTTTGTTTTTTGTATATACGCGAGATGCGTGATTGTATTTAAACAAACATTGATGGTATCCATCATTTTGTACACTGTCATAAATATTATTTGTGTATCATACATTTGTACATGCAACATTCCGGTGTATAAGGAAATATATATTGTAAATAAATCATATAAAATCAAACATGCATGTTTAAGTGGAGAGAGATAGTTTTAAAGCTGCATTTCGATGACGAAGGTGTCTTGTCTGGTCATGTTTTCAGTGCATGTTTGGATAGGTCATACAGTCAAGTAGTTATATGAACATATCCCTAGTCCTAACAAAAGATACATATACTTACATGGTTTAAGTGAAACCCTACAATGTTTGTTTTTTCCTGATTCCAGAATAATTGAGCGAGTCTAGTTTACCTTAAAGTCTGCTCCTGATCCATCAGCAAGACCTTGGGCTTCCTCGAAGAATGCTTGACGGGTGAATGGACGAGTAATTTCTATTTCAAGATCTAAAGCTGCGCCAAGACTAAAAGAAATGTAATCTATTTACTAGTAGATAAGTATATAGATGTGAAAACAGAGGCACTAACAAGTAGTGGGGCTCATTATGAATATTAGAAACGAAAGAAAAGAAATCAACTGGTTTTAAATTCTCCTCACTATATCATAATAAAATAATTATACTTCCACTTTAGAAGTGAAGGCTATATTACAATCATCTTGTACGTCCGTTCGTTTCTGTCCGTCATATCGTCCACTGAATATTTTTGTCATATTTTCTCCGAATCTGTGCCTTAATATTTGATTAGCAGCTCAACAGTGGCGAGTTGTAACATGTGTGCGCTTATTAAAAATCTACTAATACCTATATAATGCAATATGATAATCAGAATTACGTGTTCTGTGCACTAAAATAGAAAAAAAAGAAGGATATGGGGTATACATCCATGACACGAAATTAGTACATGCACAGCAAAAAAAAAAACCCCAAACAAACACTCAAAGCGCAAATGAACAACGCTTTAGTGCTGTTCTTCATCTCAAAGTCACAGTGAGGCCTTCAACACGGAGCAAAAGAAAACCCAAAAAACTCACCTCACTGCAAGTTTAAGACGGCCTTAGCACGGATTAAGCGGAATTCTTTGCAAAAAAAAAGTTGGATAGACTTTGTAAGATGTAACACCACCAAACCACGACGGCGGCTGCTTTCTTGGTACATTGTACATTTAAATAACGATTCGGTGTACACACGTACTAATCTAGACTCCTTTTGGTACTTATATAATTTAAATGATAATATTTCTGCTTTTTTTTTTTTTTTGAATTCTACTCAAGGTAAGCGATCATATATCTCTCTGAGACCAAGTTGATCCTAACACAGTTTGACTGTTCTGTTTATGGTATTCCAATTTTGCTAACGAACTTTTGGTTATTCCAGAATCAACTTTTGTGGATATGAAAATCTATAGTTGACGTTCATCTTACTACATTTGGAGCAGGATCTGCTTACCTTTCCGGAACATCGAGATCACATCCGATTCGTTATGCTCAGTCTTTAGTTTGTTATGTAGTATTTTGAATACTGTTTTTTGTCTTTCGTCGTTTTTCGTTTCATGTCATGATTTTGCCAGATTCTCTTCGACTTATGAATTTACATTCTTCCTTTAATATATATATCCCGCCTCTTAATGTACTCCCATTTTGCAGAGGCAGAGGCGGATTTAGGGGGGGGGGGGGCAGGGTGCCCGCCCCCTTTTGTAGGAACAATTTGGTTGATTATATAGGGAATCACTGCAGCATGACTAAGCGGGCCCGTCTTATGGCATTCAGTGGGTCCCCCCTTATGAAAATTTCTGGATCCGCAACTGTTTTTTCAGTAGTATTGCCGATGAACAGATAGTTCCCGAAGATACATTTCTCCTAAGGGCTGAAGAGATAATTTTTACTTTAACATTCCAGTGCATTAATTATGCAATTCATAAAATTAAGGTCGCCATAATTCGAATGTGTTGGCCGTTGGATTCTTTTTTCGGATTTGATATCATCAAAGGTTTAATATATTTAGCTGGTCAAACATTTGGTCTCTAGCGTTCTGTCGCCTCGAGTGCGGGATGTCGTGGGTTCGAACCCCGACCTGGTCATTGTACATTCAAATAACGATTCGGTGTACACATGAACTAATCTAGATTCCTTTTGGTACTTGCATACTTTAAATGATAATATTTCTGCTTTTTTATTTTTTTTTTAATTCTACTCAAGGTTAGCGATCATATATCTCTTTGAGACCAAGTTAATCCTAACACAGTTTGACTGTTCTGTTTATGGTATTCCGATTTTGCTCACGAACGTTTGGTATATTTGGTTCCTAACCTTCCGGTTTTGGTCTAGTACAAAGCAGGGTTAATATTCATATCACATTAACTTGTTCCTATCCTGAATATGCATATTAATTTGCCGCAGGACGTTGTGCAGCCATCCATCATCATTATCATCATATAGCGTTCGTTGTAATGGTAATGGTATTCATGGAGATACATTTGGTGCATGTACTCATGTTGCTATCGTTATTTGATGTCTAGAGCGTTAACAGGATAGATTTGAACGTATTAAAACATACCCAAAATCTGCAACGTCTTTTAAAAACCAAGGTTTAAAAATATGTACAGTACTATTGATGGCACCAATCTGAGAGGAAAAAGAGAACTAACAAACTTCACCAGAGTGACAAGACTATTTAGTAAGTTATGCCTAAAAATCACATGTCTATGAAAATTTCCTGGGATGGTTAATAAGTAGATGACGTTTTCTCTTTGCGTCTGTTTTCCGTTTTTGACCCTTTAAGTAGTGGGTTCGTAAAATCCATTTTTTTAATTGTTTTATTTTCAGTACTATACTATCTAGCCCTTATAAAACCATCACCATTTCTTTTTAAATATTGGAAAGATGTAATGAAAAAAACAGATTTTTCAAATATTTGCCAATTACATCGCTGTATCAGAATCTCAAGGATTATGGGTACTTTCATTATTCGTAAATAAACACTATTCCAGGTTTGGGGTAAGGTTAGGAGCCTGGAAACATGTTTAACACCGCCACATTCTGTATGTGCCTGTCCAACGTCTGGAGCTAATATCATTGGTTGCTGCTGTATATCATGAATATTTGTTTATGTTTTATTGTTTTGAACATAGATTAGGCCGTTGGTTTTCTCGTTTGAATAGTTTTATATTTGGTATGACCTGTTATGGCTTGCTGTGATGTACAGGCTTTGCTGATTGTAGAAGTTCCTACAGTAAACTACTAGTTGTCTCGCCTTGACGGAGTCAAAAAGCGAGACATAGGTATGCTGTTTCCGGCGTCGGCGGCGTCAACAATGCATTAGTTTGTGATTAGCTCTAGTACATGGTGAACCACTAGTGGTAGGTCAATGATATTTGGTATGCAGTTGTATTAGCATTGGCACATCTCATTACCATAGAGATTATTTGGCCCCGCCCCCTCAGTCAAGGTCTATTGACTTTGAAACTTTTCATAGTTTGACATGTATTAGTTTGTGATTAGGTCAAATTTTATGGGGAACTACTAGTGGTAGGTCAATGATATTTGGTATGCAGTTGTATAAGCATTGGCATATCTCATTTCCATGGAGATTATTTGGCTCCGCCCCCTTAGTCATGGTCTATAGACTTTGAAAATTTTGCTAAGTTAACATGTATTAGTTTGTGATTAGGTCAGTTCAAGGGGAACCATTAGTGGTAGGCCAATGTTAATTGGAGTTCAGTTGTATAAGCATTAGCACATCTCATTTCCATGGAGATATTTGACCCCGCCCCCTCAGTCATGGTCTATTTACTTTGAAACTTTTGCTTAGTTTACATGTATTAGTTTGTGATTAGATCAGTTTAAGATGAACTGCTAATGTTAAGTCAATGATATTTGGTATGCAAATTTATTGGCATTTGCAAATATATATATATATAACTAGTATATTATAAGTTATATGGTTCGCTACTGACCCCGTACGGATCCAAGGGGGGGGGGGGGGGGGGGAGGGGGAAGGCCGAAGGCCGAATCTCCTATGGATTACGGATCCATTGGGGAGGGGGAAGTGGGGTGAGGTCTGTTATGGCTTTTTGTGGTGTACAGGCTTTGCTGATTGTAGAACTCCCTACAGTAAACTACTAGTATATTATAAGTTATATGGTTCGCTACTGACCCCGTACGGATCCGGGGGTGGAGGGGGGGGGGGGGGAAAGGCCGAAGGCAGAATCTCCTATGGATTTTACTCAGCCTCTTTGGTCCGTAGGGGGTCATTAGTGAACCGTATTACGAATTTATTTCACGCCAGACTTTGCCTGCTGCGTTTTGTAGAAAAAATAAACAATGAAATACAACGATATCAAAAGATGACATCATCATTAACAGTAGACTTGGCGTCATGAACCCCATATGAAATTTACTAACCCCATACGGATCCATTGGGGTTCACCACATGACGGCGTTAAACCAATCACAACGTCATAATTTACCAGCGGTGCGATAAGCGCTAACATCTATCTATGTCAATTGGTCTCAGTTGGATAGTTGTCTCATTGGCAATCGCGTCACATCTGTTTATTATTTATATCAGTTTTGAAAATGAAAATAAATTATGCCATCGAGATCGGTTAAATGCGAACTGGTTAGGACCTTGCTAACCAATCATATCGTTTTGGTGCATTTTGAATTGATTGGATTGATTGATTGATATATTGTTTCTATTTAATAGATATAAGAAGATGTGGTATGAGTGCAAATGAAACAACGCTCCATCCAAGTCACAATTTGTAAAAGTAAACCATTATAAGTCAAAGTACGGCCTTCAACACGGAGCCTTGGCTCACACCGAACAGCAAGCTATAAAGGGCCCCAAAAATGACTAGTGTAAAACCATTCAAACAGGAAAACCATTCAACGCTACTTTCAGTACTATTGGCTATACTATATCATGGCGGTCAGTTTTTATTGGTGGAGGAGGCTGGAGTGTCCGGAGAGAACCAACGACCTTCGGCAAGAAAACTAACAATCCTAGTTAATTAAAATTGGAGTCGAATGCACCTGCCACGTGCGGGGTTCGAACGCCCATTCTTGTTGTTGACAGGCTAGTGGTACAGTAGATGAACTAATTATACCACTCGGCCACCGAGGCCTAATTGATTAGAGAAGTATAAGTTAAGACTGTTCATTTCATGGGCCTTGCACTTAGGGGTCTTCATTGATAAGTTCCTGTGTGGTATAACAGCAAAATGGGTCCTTTAAATAAATGAAAGATTAGTTCCGTCAGTAGTCATAGGGGCTGTTATACTATTTGTGTTTATTTGCCTTTTTACAATTGTGAGACTTTTCGTATCAATTTTCGTGTAAGTTTATATTTGTTCGTATGGTATTATACTTACGACTTGTTCTTCTAGATACTTCCATACACTGTTTATCATGGCATTTGCTCTTTTATCCAAGAGCTGTCCATGAGCTTTTCCCATATCATATGGTGTCCCTGCACAATAGATACGTAAAACATGATGTATACAGTAAATGTCCAAGAATATTTAGAAAAACAATTTGACGAAAACAAGGCAGAATTATTCCCCATTTGGCATCTTGGTAGATAACAATTCGCTAAAATTGCTCTTCGCGATGTAAGAAAAAAAAAAGACTAACATACAAATTCATTTACGAAAATAATTTATTTCATAAAATATTACCAACCTTTTTGTTCTAACTAAAAACGTTCAGCTCATTTATAAAGAATCACTGATAAACAATCTAGTATTTAATCTGAACTCCTACATTTTACTTCAATACCTTCCATGTTCACTGAAAACTAAATGAGGGTCTGGATGGGAATCCTTCATTTTTCTTGTTTTTTATTTTTTATACCATTTTCTCTGTTCTATATTTTTTTTGTCCATTATTCTTTACTCTATATATTTTAGCACCCAATTATTCTTTATTCATTATTTTTTTGAGTTTTATTCTGCTATTTTTGTCCATTTTTCTCTTTTTTGTAAACCCCACCCAGACCTCATCAAACGGCATGTTTTTCTTGCATGTGCATTCATGGCAATATTGATCATACATGCAGTTATCTGACTTATCCCACACATGTACAATACTAAAACTGATTATATGCTGGTTGTCCAATTGTATACAAGTGTCCATTTACAACTGACTTTCATACTTACCCCACACATGTACGGTATATAACTGATTATCTGCTGGTTGTCCAATTGTATACAAGTGTCAATTTACAGCTGACTTTCATACTTACCCCACACATGTACGATATACAACTAATTATCTCCATGTCCAATTGTATACAAGTGTCAATTTACAGCTGATTGTCATACTTACCCCACACATGTACAATATAAAACTGATTATCTGCTGGTTGTCCAATTGTATACAAGTGTCCATTTACAACTGACTTTATCTTAGTTGGCGAAGACGTATACATTGGATTTAAGTTTTGTTTGGCGTTAGGATCAGGCTACAAAAACAAAAGATCGACATTTGGCTTGAACCGGATGAAGATTTAAATTTTCCGTATAGTTTTAAGCTTTATAGTCATCGAACTATAAATCTGTTCAACTGTCTATACTGTTTTCGAAACATGTAACATTACAAATCCATGTTCCATGGTTTCGTCCTGACAATGCATGAAATATTTGCCGCTGTACAAATGCTCTGTCTTTTAACTACATTGTATGTACCAGTTCAAATTTATTATCTTAGCATAGAATTGTCCATATTTTGAGTTAGAGATGTAGACTTTTCTATAATTTTGATATTATTTGTCCCAAGAGTAGTACACTACACGGTAAAAATCTTTTTGAGATAGAGCAGGTTTGATTTATCAATCTTAATATATTGTCTAAAAGAAATGCACTACGAAATAACTGTGTTCTCGGGCCAGATATTTTACCCACAATTTTCAATGGAAACAAACTATTTTTTACACTTCCCTTCTGAAATCAATTACATTTTTTTTCAAGAAAAGTAGAATCAATCAATAATTTATTAAAAAAAACATGTTCTTATACAAGACAAATGGTTCCTATACACATATTTTATTTTTCAATCGTGCACCAGTTCAAATATGCTGTCCTCGAAGAATATACTGTGTCGAAACATGTAACATTACAAATCCATGTTCCATGGTTTCGTCCTGAACATGCATGAAATATTTATCAATCAATCAATCAATCAATCAATCAATCAATCAATCAATCAATCAATCAATCAATCAATCAATCAATCAATCAATCAATCAATCAATCAATCAATCAATCAATCAATCAATCAATCAATCAATCAATCAATCAATCAATCAATCAATCAATCAATCTACAAACTGTGTTCAAGTACACATGTATACATTGTAGCTAATTAAGCCCCGTTCACATGATGAACCTTGACGTGCATGTTAATATGTACAGGACTGGTGCAATTTTGCCTATGTATGTATGTAAATGCAAATACACAATGATAGAATTAAGAATAGAAACGGGGAATGTGTCAAAGAGACAACAATCCGACCAAAGAGCAGAAAACAGCCCAAGGCTACCAATGAGTCTTCAACGCAGCGAGAACTTCCCGCACCTGGAGGCGGGCTTCAGCTGGCCCCTAAACAATAATAGTATACAAGTCCAGCGTAATGGACGCCACGCTAAACTCCGAAACATATAAATGAACCAAAAACACACAAGCCTAACAAAGGCAAGAGGTTCCTGACTTTGGACAGGCTATAAATGCGGCGGAGTTAAACATTTTTGTGAGATCTTAACCCTCTCCTATACCTCTAGTCAATGTGGAATAAAAAAAAAACCACAGCAATACGCACAGTAAAGTTTATATGGTGTTTATACCAGTCGTGTATTTGCGTAATAAAGACATTGTTTCTTTGTTTTCAATAACTATTTTGAGATCAATGTGCATTCTTCAAACAATTAACTAAAAATATTTAGGACGACAACCCCTGAATTAAAGGCAGAAGATCCTGTATTAGGACATGCACGTTCATTAATGTAGCGAGGTAACTATTTAAAAACTTTTGAGCTCGCATGCAACCTTCCCCTTAATCAGGTACAGAGAAGTAACAGATAAAGTACACGATAGAACACACTGTAAAGTTAAGAATCAGTTGAAAAGGGTCTAGACTCATAACACCGATGTGTACATATGTCCTTGCAGTTTCATTAATAGTTCTGGAAACCATTGACCAGAAACACGTTTTCTGCACTTAATTCAATCTCTTGAAAGCAACTTCGACCTTGACTTCGAACAAAGTGATCTTAAAATAGATAGGGATCTCTCACTCATTATATGTCATAATATATTTTAGTTTAGTTTCAACTTTCTTCAGGGTCTAGATGATATAATCCGACAACTCCTTCTTATATATATGTCGGTCTATTTTAAGTTATTATGACCTTCACCTAGGACGTAATGACCTAAAAATAAAATCAATAAGGATCTACCACTTAATTCAGTTGCAGTCAGATAGGAAGTATTTGATAACGTAAATTATATGAATTGCGGTCTGACCATGCAATAGACAGATTGACAGACCTAAAGACGGATAGGCAAAAAATATACTCCAGTTCTTCGTTTGTTCTAGTATAAAAAGATTGTAGTATTTTAATATTTTGTGTACCGGTTTTTGTGTTCATATGAAGAAAATACATGCACACAACGTAAATTTGCATATTAAATGCACTCAATGTTAATTTTTATACGTGTGCTTTTGCGTTCAAATGCACTTTATACACCAACGCGCATTTCTACATACATACAGGGTTTTGTTCATTGTTGAAGGCCGTACGGTGACCTGCAGTTGTTAACATTTTATGCATTTAGTCTCTGGTGGAGAGTTGTCTCACTGGCAATCATAACACTTCTCAAATTCTTATTTTTATGTGTATGCATATACGCATACATCTGTGCATGTGAACGGGGCTTAAAAATCATTTACCTTGCACACCTGTTCTATCCGTACAGTTATACATGTACCGTCTTTGAAAAATGTACGGTCTTTGAACGAAGGAACAGTACAAATGCACTATATCCCAACCAAGTACAAGTCAGTACAGCCTATGCACTGTAAACCCATGCAAATGTTATATTTTAGAACAATTTACATATTACACAACTGTCGTACGCTCTAATACAAATTACATGTTTTTTTGAAGAATGGCCAAGACTCAGGCTTTAATGTTTTCGAAATATGAACCAGCACACATGTATTGTCTTCGGCATACGCGCATAAGCACAACTGTACTCTTTTCTAACAATCATTCATTGAAATGCTGAAAATGTTGTTGTCATGAGCAAAGTAATGACAAGTTGGATTCTTTGATACCAGTAAAACTTATTTCTCTTAAAATGAAACTTCTTTTTTCAAGATTTCTTGATTTCCCACTACTTTATCAATACATTGCATTTTAACGGAATAACATGTCTGTAATGGGAAATAATTGGGAACCAATGGGATTTATAAGAATATTTTCTAAACATAGTTCGTACAATGATGTAATAAATTAAAATCTATTTACATTTGCTCACGATTTCTTTTTAACTTGTAATAAAGCTATCAGAGAAACTGTAAGATTATCAAATTCGTACAAACAAATGGGTTAAATTTGCTCATTAGTCACGAACTTAAAACAAAAATACATAAAAAATTGTATATATTGTATTATATACATTGTATTCACAACATTTGTATTTATACGTTTGCATTATTTGACGTTTTGATTAATTGAATATAAATTGGATTAAAATCCCCAATTTAAAAGTATGAAATAACGTATAACATACGAAAAAGATATAATAAGGCAATGAAACTAATGCGCTTTGTTAAAAAAACCAAGGTCAACATCTGCCTTGAAGGTTACAATCAACCATTAAATATTATGGACGCATGGTATTCAGAATTAAGAGTATGGCTAATCCTGATTGGTCGATATGTGCACCCGTTATTTTTGTATTATTAGAGAATTCGTGCACTCTGCATTATACCAAAGACAAAATAATATATTTTCCTTAGCCTTAACGGAACTGAGATGTCTTTTCTACGCTAGGATGAGACACGTGTTTTAAGTGCAAAATTGATAAGCAAGGGAGATAAGTACAAATTACTTGAAGAAAAGCCACGGGAACCTATATTTTTTAGACCAAAAAATACTGTCCGAATAATTTTTCTTTAATTCGAGCAAGGTTTCGTTAAAAAAATCAACTTTCTATAGTCTGTATCTCGAACAAGGCTATCATTGTCGCCTATGGGGAAATTAATTGTTTATTGCAATCTATAGATCAGCTTATGCATGAAACGATTACACTACACATAATACGTTTTCAATAGTTTTCGATTCTTTTAAGCGACAAATGACTTGTGGTTCAATCAAGTTTACGCAGTCGCGTTCAGCATGTGGCCGCTTTTTAAATACATTAGAATATACAACAAACACCTGTCGTGCGAGGTAGGTTAAAAAGTGACCATATTTAGCGTTTGGTCACTTGCTTATTATAACTGGTCGTTTTGGCAGGTGCAATTGTATTTTTAGATCGATGCATTGTTAAGGAAATTAAAATATCAATGATATTTAAAAGTCAGTATAGTTGAAAGCAATTTTACGTCTGAATCAAAACCCATTAGTTTAAGGTATACAACCACTAACTCGGGCCCGGTCAGAAAGAATAAACAGGAAAGTAGTACATATTTTAAACAAAATAGTTCCTACGCACAGCTGTATCTTTGTCGATAGGTGAAATATTTGGGTAGTTTTGGTATCAAATGAAAGCTTGGGGACTTGGAATCACTGTAGAATCATTGTTGAAAGTTTCTTTTGAATAATAAAACGTATATAAAATTATTATAGGCGGGCACATACACTCTGTTGTTCAGATCATAAGTACCTGTTTTTGTGCTATCAAACTTCCGGGAACCAGTACTCTCTAATATGCAGTTAAAGGTATGTTGAATTTTTCAGCACACGTCAGGATAAGGTATAGTTTTGACATGAAATGACTGCCACTTTATTTGAACTTGAGACAAGGTAGGCTTAGCCATTAATTCTTGAAATTGCAGAATTTAATATAGAAAGAAATGGGGTTATGAATTATTTGTTTTATTAATGAAAAATTGTAACAATAAAGTACATGTAGTACAATTTTACATAAAATTCAGATACAGTATTCGGAAGAAAGTTTGGAAAAACTATTATAAATCCGTCTTCCAATCAATAGGTCAACTGTCTTAAGAGGTCATCTTTAGTTTTACCTATGCGTAACTGTGTTAGTTTATAGGCATTTGGCTGTACAATGTTTTTTTTCAAGTTTTGAAAACTTTTTTCATTTTCTAATTTAAAATAAAATATAGAATATTACCTTCCCGCTACAGTATGCGGCGTTTGATGTCTGTAAACTAAATAAACAAACCGCAAGGATAATTCTGACCGACATATTGTCATCAATAATGTCTTATCTACAGTAGGTTATCAACGCAAAGATAAAATGCTAAATTATATTTCATTATTTCCGGCTAGGTTTTACAAATCAACTAAAATCTTTTTCAAAGAAACACGAGATTTTCTTAAGGCCCATTATTCTCCATTCTTTAAATTTAGCACTTCATTTTTCTTTATTCTTGTAAACCCCACCCAAACTAACCTTCTATTTGACTAATGAACAATTTAACAAAACTGTTCATACTTAGTTATGTAATATAAACAAGTAATTTAGTAAGGCAGTGCTTTGGAAGTCTCAAAATTGTACCGAAAGAAACACAGTATAGTATACTTGTAGTTCTTTCTTCTGTGAAAGAGGTTGGCGAAAGCATTGATCTCATAGTTAGTCTGTCTTGAACGAGCTTGATAGAGATATTGAAAGACCCGGTGTCAATGTTATATAATGACAGATGACCAATTTGACATAAATGTTATGTTATTTACACTTTATACTTAATACATGACAACTCGCCCACTGCCAGATCGTCCCACACCGAATCGCTCCAATCTTTCACCAACTCGCCCCAAAAGCCAACTTCTATCTACTACTGACGTGTCAAAATAAAATGTAAAGAATAATATTGGTATAATTATTATTCGTACAAAATAAAGAACGCAATACTCTTATTCTCTTTCTATACGATATTCCAGA